TATTTTTATGTGTGATATAAAAAAAGGATTGAGGTTCATTTTCCCCCATAAATATATCCAGTAGTTCTAACATTTAAAAGACTATCATTTTTCTGTCTACCTTTATCTCAATACCACATCTTAGTTTAGCTTTAAATGGCAAAGCTTTGTATAGTGTAAATTCTCTTAATTTTTCTTTTCCAAATTGTTTTGACTATTCTGGGTCACTTGAATTTACACATAAATTTTGTTTACAAGGAAGACTGCCAGAATTTTTACTTGAATTCCATTATTTATACATCAAATTAGGGATAATTAACATTTATAAAAGTGAGTCTTCCAATTTGCAATTACGGTACACAGGCAGTCCTCGGGTTACATCAGACTCCACGTTCATCGTTTCGTGGTTACATCGCCATCTCCCATTTATTTATAAAAAAAAAAAAAAGTTTTGTCATTTCACTGTATGTATTATTTATTTACCACAAGGTCAGGAATTATCTTTCAATTTTTTTTACTGTTTCACTTCATTACTGCTGAGTATGTGCTCCATGTGAGTGACGTAGGTGCCTATGTAATTGACTTACAGAGAAAATCGTGTTACTTCGTGCGTAAGAAAGGATCTCGACGTAACCCGAGGACCTACTGTATCTCCATCCACTTAGATTTTCTTTCATTTCTTTTTCTTAATATATTTTATTGATATTTTACAGAGAGGAAGGGAGAGGGACAGAGAGTTAGAAACATCAATCAGCTGCCTTCTGCACAATCCCCACGGGGTACATGCCCTTGACCAGAATCAAACCTGGGACCCTTAAGTCCGCAGGCCAGATGCTAGCGGCTAGAGCTAAACTGGTTAGGACTTTTCTTTCATTTCTTACCAACTTATGTGGTTTTCATTGAGCGTCTTAAACAAATTTTGTTATATTTGTCCCAAAGTATTTCATGTTTTCTAATTCTACTAAGTGATAGCTTTTACATTTCAATTACCAATTATGTTGCCAGCATGTAAAAATACTAGCAAAACTGAATTATGTCTATTGAACTTGCACCTTACCTTACTCAAAATCAATTCTAGTAGTTTATTTTTTAGGATTTTCAACCTTTGATCATGTCTCCTGCAAAGAGTTTAATTTCTTACAATATGCATATTCTTTCTACAGTAACTTCATAGGTTGGATCTTCAGTACAGTATTAAATAGAAAAGGTGACAGCAGGTATCTTGTCTTCCCCAAATCTTAGGAGAAAAACAAACTATTATGTATGTTAACTGTAGGTTTTTCAGATACTCCCTGTCAAGTTCCCTTCTAATTCTGGTTTTATCATAGATGGATACTGAATTTTACTGTACACATTTTCTGCACCTAGTCAGATGACCATGTCTCCCCATCCCATGTTAATTTGGTGAATTACATTGGTTTTTGTAAATTCTAGTGATTCATATTTAAAAAGAAATTTGTGGTAAAATACACGTAACATATAATTACCATTTTAACCATGCTTAAGAGTACGTACTGGTGAGTGTCATTAAGTACAATTTTTATTGTGCAACCAATCTCCACAACTTTTTCATCTTGCATAATTAAAACTGTTTCCATTAAACAGTTCCCCATTTCCTTCTGCCCCTTTTAATTCAATTTAAAAAATATTTTTATTGATTTCAGAAAGGAAGGGAAAGGGAGAGATAGAAACATCAATGATGAGAATCATTGATCTGCTGCCTCATGCAGGGAATCGAGACCCTATTAGGAATTGAGCCTAAAACCCGTGCATGTGCCCTTGACCAAAATCGAACCCAAGACTCTACAGTCCTCAAGCCGGCACTCTAGTCACTGAGCCAACCCAGTTAGGGCTCATTTTTTTATTTTACGAAAATTTCAGTCTGTGATCAATTGGAAAAAGTTGTCCTTCACCTCAGAAAGTTTTATAAGCCATGTTCTAAGTCATCTTATTAATAATAAAAAGAAAGCATTTTTAAATTTTCTATATTGTTGAAAATATTACATATGCCCCCTTTTCCCACTGACCCCTTATAACCCACCCCACCCCCTGCCCAGGCCTTCACCACACTATTGTCTGTGTCCATGGGTTATGCATATATGTATACAAGTTCTTTGATTAAAAAAATTTTTTTTAAACATGTTCTTGGCTTGCAAATTCGTTTAAAGTCCCACCAAAAAGAAAAATGCATCAGTGTTTGGGGAGAACAAATATACATCACTTCAAACTAGGTAAAATTAGACTGTTTTTAAAGCAACTTATTTCAGTCAGACTGTGATTTCTTTTTTAGGTATTCTGGATGACTGCTTGACCATAAACAGAAGCATAAGCCATTTTCTCCTGTCCTCTTTGACTCCTCTACACTTCCGTCCTGGCTGAAGCATCCTGCTGTCACTCATGGACAAGTAATGTTTGGGGTTTTTTATTGATTATGGTATCACATAATTGTCCTCATCCCCCCATTCCCATCCCAAACCCCTCCCCACGTATGCTCCCACCCCCCTCTTGTCCATGACCACTGGTTAGGCTTATATGCATGCACACAAGTCCTTTGGTTGATCTCTCCCCTTTACCCCCACCCTCCCCTACTTTCCCTCTGAGGCTTGACAGCCTAATCGCTGCTTCTCTGTCTCTGGGTCTGTTTTTGTTCATCGGTTTATGTTGTTCATTATTTCCCCTAGATGCGTGAGATCATGTGATCCAAGAAATACCCTTATAAGAACTGAAACCGAGACAAGCCATAATGGTTGTGATGAGAGGCAAATAAATCAGTCTGTAGTGAGTTCCTTTCTGGGCCAACAGTTCTTTTGAGTCCCAATTTCAATGTCAAACAGTGCCTTATGTGTACATGTCAGCCATATTTCAGATCTGGTTGGTGGCCAAACGGTGGTGATGCAGGTCCGACTGTCTCTGGTTTGGTCCTGGGCATCCTTTAGTGACACACAGCTGCTGTCTGCTAGTATGGCAAGGCGTTGTCAGCATCCTCCATCTCTAAACTGTTTCTCTTCGTATTCATGGCTGGAGCACTCCTGTCTATTCCTCTCTGTTGCAGGAATCCACATGGTCTCGGAATTTATAGAAAACATCCCTTTATTAACTTCTGATCAAGAATATGTTTCTATATTTTCAGAAAAGTAATGTTTTTTAATCAAAAACAAAAACAAACTTTACTAAGAATTTCTAGTTTAATAATCATTGGCTCGCCTTTTGACATACTCAGGGCTTAACATGTGGATGGGGTTTCATTCATTCATGCATGCATTCATTAATTCATTTTCAAGACTAAACTCTATCACTCAATTTTAGTTCATGACATCTGTTTTTCACAAATTGAGAGTTTTAAAGTATGTGGGAATGATGTATAATACATCAGATGTGTACTGTCCTATTTTCATCAACCAAATATCCCTATAACTTGAGACTGTTTGAAGGAATAAAACTTCTAACACAGAAGTATACTGTATAATAGTTTATTTTTCTCATTTTACTATTTTTACATTTTATGCACAAATATTTTTATCTGAGTAAAAATAGAAAATAACTGTTTTATGTAAAATTACAAAAAAAAATAAAAACCACAAAGAAATACATAATTATTATTATGACAGTATAAGTGTCTTTATTTAAAGAGTAAAAATGTATGCAAAAATCTTCCTCCCTTGTACAAAAAATTGAGAATTTATTTTTCTGGCAGCAAGTGAAATATCACTAAATATCAATATTTTTACACTTCCTAGATATGAAGACATTAAGTTAGTCACAAGTTATTTTGCAGTTATGAATTTAAAAACATTTTTGTGCTATTTCAAAGATACACTGGTTCTTTTTAAAAGGCAGTACATAAAATGATGAATATGGAAAGTAGCAGACCTTGTCATACATATCTGGAGGTACAAATCTTTAAAGAAATATCATACTGAGTTTCACCAGTAGTCAGGGGAGAAAAACAACTAAACAAATTTTCCTAATTAACTGACATAGACTGATACAAAATGAATATGATTGATTCATGTGAAGATCAACCACACAGAGCAATTCTGCCTTAATTTGATTTTCTGATGCCAACACAAATCTCCAAACTTCAGGCTAGTTCTATACCTATAAAGGTGGCTCAGGGAGAACCTCATGTGGAAAACAAGTTTTAAAACAAAATGAACATTTCATTATTCTTGTACTTAAGGTATAAAAGATGACCAATAATTTTATTTCTTCCTTTAAATATATTGTAAATTCTCCTATGAAAAATTCATACATTAAACGTAACAAAGAATGAACAGTGTGAATTATATTTTCTTCCATAATCTTTCTATATGGGAAAAGACTACTTGACTTCTGATAACTGTAACCTCAACAAGGACAGTGAAAATCGTTTACTGTAACTTAACACAAAGTAACAGAAATTTCTTGAATCAATTGGGGAAACTACTTATGTTATGGTGCATAAAATAAGAAGCAATGAACAAAAAAGAAAAAAACTTGATCATGTATGAGAACTGTCTCTGTCCAAATTGTAATGAATAATAAAAACTTATAGAAAAAAATGAAGAATGTGTTGTTTTTTAAGCATCTGAGAAATACTACAGAAGAAATAATAATTTGACTTTAGAGATCTAAAAGAAATGTGGCTGTTCCTTGGCTTAAAAAATAAAAAATGTATACACTCACACACCTATAACTGAGATATAAAGGAAGTCTGCCATCCTGGCTCTAATGTTAACATAATGCCACCTTAAAAGCATTTCAAAAGTCAAGTATTTTAAGCTCTAGAAAATATACCAGAATAGTGTAATTTTTTTAGAACTATAAGTGATTTGTCAATTCCCTAAGCCATAAGTAGATGGTGCAAAACCTTCTTTTTAGCCATTAGCTATCTGAAAGTAGGGCTTTTGTATATTAATTCATATTGCTAGTCTACTCAGATAGTCTTGCAACCATTGCACCCAATATCTAATAATAATTTGTCAGTCTATTTTGTGTGTGTTTATAAAATGGTACCAGTGGGATGTTACAAACTTTGTTCCTTTTTAGGTGTGTACAGCAGTCTTAAAGAACTTAATTCAGTCAAATAGTTGGACCAACATTATACTTTGTAGCCCTACAGCACAGCACTTAACATTAAAGTTATCAGACCAGGGGATCACAGACCTCTCCTCTTCTCCTGTTCCTAAAAGCCCTGTCTCCTGTGGTTCATTCCAAATGCTATTTAGTATATGATGGCAGCACCTGCTAGCAAAGCCACGTTGCCTGTATTACCATGGCCCTTTCCTCCTGGTTAGTCAAAAGCATTAACTAACCCTCATAAAGCTGTTTAGAGGGGTGAATTTAAAGTAAATGATGAGGGAGAAGGTGCATGAAGTAATATTTGAGAATAAATCTTCTGTTATAAGAGGATTAGAACCTATTTGCCATATCTCACATCAGGATTTGTACATAATACCTTAAAACAAACAACAAAACAAAAGCAAGCAAGGAGAGTGAGCAAGCAAACAACAAAAAAATACATATTTCTAGCCACTTCTGCTTAGTGTTAGTTTGTGGTTAAGTAAAGAGTTTCATATTTATAAGAATTATTTAATTTTTTTAAGATTAAAAAAATGAGTTATTACCTTTTCAAATATCTTTCCTTTTGAATATTATGTCTTTATATATGTGTATATCTGTATTTATAGGAAATGGTCATGTGGACATGTATACATATATCTGTATATTCAGATATATATTCAAAAGGAGAAATTAAATAAATGGGCAATTTTGCTTTAAGAGAAAACTGCCTGTACTGGAGATAAAATTTTCGTTTTAAACTATTTGCAAATAATTTCCTAATATCTTGAAAGGTGAAGTACTGCTGACTGATTTAAAGTCTTCATTTCATCAGAAACACAATGACCATTGAAGCTGCTCTACATAAACCAACATGAAAGAGTAATTTAAAAACAAAAAGAGAGAGAGAGAGAGAGAAAGAGAGAGAGAGAGAGAGAGAGAAGACAAACCAATTTTCTGGCTGAGGTATACCTTCTCGGCTTTTTAGATCTCTGACAGGAAAAAGAGATCACTTCAAGATTTTTGTAATAGTTGGTTTATTAGATTCAATGCTTCTCTTAGAATAATTTAAATTCTTGACCTGACATGAATCTATACAAAAACCTGAGCCAGATTTAAACCTGGATCTCCCTCTTCAGCACTGCTCTTCTGCCAGTTGACTTCTTTGTCCTTTGCTTGCAAATATATAAATTACTTTAATAACTTGATACTAATAGTTTAGTAATTTATTATTTATACTTTTATTTGATATGACTATTTTAGCTCTGCCTGATTAGATGAAACAGGCACACATGCTTTCTCTGTTAAAGTTCCATTTTCTGGTTTTATGTAAAGCAACATCTAAAGCAGCAGAGAGGGTAAACAGTTATACTTTCAAAAATAGGTAAGCCAGACTGTTTCCTGAAGATACTTCATTTATTTTTCATCCTCAGATGCTGCTGGCTATTTTTGGTAGGGCTAGACATTAATACTGACCAGTTTAGTTTTCCTGACTGTTAAACTACCCACAATGAACCTGCCTTCATACTGAAGCCATTGTGGTGATCCTGTAACATACACATATTCTAAAATATATGCTCAAAGTAAAAAGATCCAAATTCACAAGAGTATGAAATATTTATAAAAAAAATCATGCATCAGACTGTACAGTCTAGAAATAAAGGAAGATCCAAATTCAGTAATAAAGGTAAGAGCAATGCTTGCTCTCATAGTTAAGAAAAACCTTGAAACCCCAGCAGGTCCTGAGCTCAGTTATCCTTTTCTGCTTGCAGAGAAGCTGCAGCCAGGGCTACTGCCGTGACAGGCTGGGCGATTCCATGGAGCTGCATCTTTGCAAGTTTCTTCTGTTCACACTCTGTGACCAAACGGTTCAACTCTGCCGCACTGTATCCAATAAGAGTCTTCAAGTCACAGACAAATTTGTACACAAATCTCTTGCCCTGAACTTTACAAATCATGTCCCCATCATAATAATACCTTTAAAAAGAGAAAAACACATCAGTACTATATAAAAAGTAAAGAGTTTGGACTTCCCACAGTATTTCACACTCTTCCATAAACAGCAGACTAGGAGAATACGGCATCTATCGTAACAGAAGTTAACATGGAAGTTACATAGAAATATTTAATGTTACTATGCAAGGAAACTTCACATTACTTACTACAATTTCAATACTTAGCACTCCAAAACTTTACATACTACATTTTCAAAGCATGTTTTATACAATTAAGATGAAATACTGATTTAAAAACAAACATTACTAAATAAAACAAAAATCTTTGGGAGCAGTAACAGAACTTATGGACAGGGGCTTAGAGTCAGGATGCTGAGATTCAAAATCTATCTTTATTTATACCGTAATTTCCTTTGAGACCAGAAGAAAGCCACATTTTCTCTAAGCTTTAATTCTTCTTCTATTATATAAAATAAGATGTAAAACAGTACTTACCCTCATAGAACTGTTGAGGATTAAAAGGATTATCTTTGCAAAGTGCCTAAGCATATAAACTAGGACATAATCCTTTATAAAATATAAGCTATGTTAATAATAAAGAGCCATATAATGCGAAGAAATTTTTACTAATATGGATTGTTGGAATGTCCACAATTCTTTTCTGTCTTATACAAAACCCTACGATGTGTAACCATGCCTTCAGTTAATATGTAAAGACTTTCCTTTCTGAGAAATTCACCAAACCCAATAGGGAACCTCAAAAGTATAATAAGTAAACAGGGAAGAAAAAACAACACAGAAAAACGGGAAGTAGTGCATCACTAAGAAACAATGCGTCTGAGCCTTGGGGAAATCACTCCACAACAGTGATTTTCAACCTTTTTCATCTCATGGAACACATAGTAAATTACTAAAATTCTGAGAGGCACACACAAAATATATTTTTTACATATCTGACAAAAAAAAGTTATAATTTTGATTCTGACACACCAAAAAACTATTGTTGAATTGGCTGTTGTCATTTATTTGACAATCTAAGGGAAAAGAGGTCAGTGCCCCTGACTAAATAGGTATAGCATGACAATTCTTGCAGACACTGGTAGAAAACCACTGCTCTAGAAGTCTAGTTTATTGCTGCTTTCTATGGAGACAGAAATAGAACGGAATTTATATTTAACTCAGAAAACACTTTATTTACCACTATGCCCTGCCAATCCCAATTCCAATAAAAGGGGGCGGAAGGCGGGGCCGGCAGACTGTGGAGCCTTTATGTTAAAATTACACTGCCTATTTGCACCCATTTGACAAGAGTTGTTAGTGATTTATTACAAAAGGAACATTTGCAAAAGTACCAATGGTATAAACTACCATATTTAGCAGGGTTTCATTATAAAAGTTACTCCATTTAATTGAGTACATTAATGAAATAACTGAGCTAAACACAGGAAATCATGTCATCTTTCCCTAAATGCAGAACAGCAAAAAACAGAATAGTCATGTTCATTTCCCCCCCAGTAAGAGATTTAACATCGGCTGTAATCTTGTGTTCCCTTTTGTGGCAATTATGTTAAAACATAATTTAGATCTCAGTCCACAAGCCACCAAATGCTTGGCATCCAGTTTAAAATGCTACTGGCATTTCAATTTCTTAAGTAAATCCTATATAATAAAAGCAGGGTATGCAAATTGTCCCCTGGACTGGGAGGTCATCCGGGAGTTCGACCTGGGGCAGGGCCGCAGGGGGAAGGAAGGGAACACCCAGCTGGCAGCTGCTAAGGACCATACCAGTGTATGAATTTGTGCACTGGGCCTCTAGTTTCTACATAATATGTAAGGCTGTACAAGCAGACACCATAGAAAAAAGGAAAATTAAACCTCAGAGGGAAGGTCAGGGAGAGTGGCGGTAAGAGGGAGAGATCAAACAAAGGACTTGTATGCATGCATATAAGCCTAACCAATGGACACAGACAACAGGGGGGCGGGGTGAAGGCATGAGGGGTGTAGGGGAGGTAATGGGGGAATAAGGGCACATATATAACACCATAATCAATTTAAAAATTTTAGAAAAATTTAAAAAAAGGAAAGTGGTTTTATATTTCAAAGAGAAAAATTAAGTTGATATAGTCTTAAGTTTCTAGGCAAAAGGTGATAAAAAAAATTAACTTCCTTCAATCTAGAAGATAAATTACACAACCACCAGCAATTCATTGCATTTGTCCCCTCTATAAAATGAGGAAAGTTGAAAGGTACACAATACCTGAATTTTCATGGTCATGATTTATTTCCTCCCTCTTAAAATTTTTTTTATTTTTTTAACCTTCCATATTGTGAAATATTCTACTCAAACAAAAAGGACAAAAAAGTGAACAGCTCATGATTACAAATTGCACATTCACCTGTTAAATATGACGCAGATCAGGAAACAACAGTGCCAGGAACCCGGAATCCCCTCCATAGCTACTCCCAATCATCACTTTTCCCGCCCCAAAGATAAACACAATCCTGTCTCATGCTCGTTATCTAGTGCTTTTATTTATAGTTTTTCCACCCAAAATGTGATTGGGAATTGAACCATGACCTTGGTTCACAGGTGGACACTTAGCCATGGAGCCATGCCAGCAGGGCCAAAAATCCATCCTAAGTGCTGTGACTTAGTTTTTCTGCTTTTTAAAAAAATATATTTTATTAATTTTTTTTTTATAGAGAGGAAGGGAAAGGTATAGAGAGTTAGAAACATGGATCAACTGCCTCCTGCACACTCCCTACAGAGTGCTCCCACAACCACGGTACATGCTCTAGACCAGATTCTAACCTGGGACCCTTCAGTCTGCAGGCCGATGCTCTATCGACTGAGCCAAACCAGTTAGGGCAGTTGTTCTGCTTTTGCCACTTTACTATTTAAATGCATTCATATAGGATATGAACAGGTCTGGATTTGGGGGGGGTGGGGGGTTTGAATTCTTTCACTAAAAATTATATTTACAAGATTCAGTATCTATGCTTGTAACAACAGTTCATTTTCATGGGTGTGCACTATATTCTCTTCTATACCACAATTTATTTATTCACTCTACTGTTGACAGATATAGGCATCCTATATATAAAAACCCAGAGTCTGTAACATCCAAAACGACTGAAGGCTCCACCGACCGGAAATCAGTCCTGCAGTCAGTGCTGGGTTGCTGTGGCAACAGGGGAGGCTGACCCACTGGGCCCTAAAGGACACTTAGCACACAAAGCCACTCTATCAACACAGGGTAGCAGCCAAAATACGGAGACAAAGAACCAGGTCAAAGATGAAAGAAATGGAGGAAAGCAAACTACAGGGTATAGAGTTCTAAACCATGGTTTTAGGGTTTTTCAAGAATTTTCCAGAAAAGGCTGATAAATTTAGCGAGACCCTCAAGGATATGAAAAAGGACTAACTGGGAATTAAGCATACACTGACTGAAATAAAAAATAATATATAGAGATCCAACAGCAGACTAGAGGATCACAGAATCAAGTCAAAGATTAGAAATACAGAGATGCAAAAAACATTCAACTGGAAAAGCAAAAAGGAAAAAGAATCCAAAAATATGAAGATAGAGTAAGGAGCCTCTGGGACCACTTTAAGAGTACCAAAATCAGAATTATGGGGGTCCCAGAAGAAGAGAGAGAGCAAGATACTGAAAACCTATCTTGAAGAAATAATGACTGAAAATTTTTAGTGAAAGAGACTTACAAGAACAGGAAGCGCACAAAAAGAATCTAAAAAGGACCACACCAAGACACATCATAATTAAAATGCCAAGAGCAAAAGACCAAGAGAGAATATTAAAAACAGCAAGAGAAAAACAGTTAGTTACCTACAAGGGAGCACTCATAAGATTGTCAGTTGATTTCTCAACAGAAACTATGCAGGCCAGAAGGGAGTGGCAAGAAATATTCAAAGTGATGAATAGAAGAACCTACAACCAAGATTACTCTACCCAGCAAAGATATCATTTAGAACTGAAGGTCAAATAAAGAGCTTCACAGATAAGAAAAAGCTAAAGGATTTCATCACCACCAAACCATTATTATATGAAATGCTGAAAGGGTATTCTCTAAGAAGAGGAAGAAAAAGGTAAAGATAAAAATTATGAACAATAAGTACATATCTATCAATAGGTGAATCTAAAAATCAAGTGAATAAAAATATGATAATCAGAATAAACTGGTGAATATAATAGAATCAGGGGGATAGAAAGGGAGTGGACTGACAATTCACAGGGGTAAGGGTATGGAGAGTGTGGGAAGAGATTGGACAAAAATCGTACACCTATGGATCAGGACAGAGTGGGGAGGAACCAGGTGAAGGGAAGCTATGGGTGGAAAAAAAGAGGAAAAATTGTAATAATCTGAACAATAAATATTTACTAAGAGAAAACAAATTTTATACTACTTAGGGGAAATTATAAATAATGTTATTCCATTTCAATTCTATCAATGTAAACGTTGGATATTCAGATTTAGTCAGATTGTGGGGGGAGAAAAAAACAAACAAACAAGAAAACAGGCCACCATTTTGCTTCCAAAATTTTGCATATTTGCTCAAGTTTACACTCAATGCACTTATGCAAATGATAGCATCTTTATCTGTTATGTAAATAATAGGAACCTCAAAGATTAAATATGCTGGTTTTAAACAGAGTAGTATCTGCTTTTAAATCAGATAAAAACAAGGCTATCAGCAGATTATGGGACAGGCCATGAGTGAAATAACATTCAAAATATTTTAAGGCATTGCTTCTTGGCCTTTTGGCTAAGATCAAATGCAAAATATTGTTAAGGCAAAAAACTGCCAGCCAAGAATAATCTCACAGTTAACCTTCAGATATAAAGAAGAAATCAAGGCTTTCCCTGATAAATCAAAGCAAATAATCTTAAAAGTAATCTGTAAAAAAAAAAAAAAACAAAACTCTTTATGTATTATACTAAAAATCTTTTTAAGAAGCCATTTTTAATGTTAAGTGTGAAAATTTTTTAGCATATATTTAAAACATCTTATGAGCAAGTCAAGGATTTTAACACCATTCTATCACAATTTCACACCAAGAAGGAGCCATATTTAGAAAAGATTGACATTTAAGAAGTAATAAATGTTACCTTAATGCACGACTGAGTTTCTCATAGTTCATTGTAGGTTTATTTTTACGTTGTCCCCATTTTTGTGCAACCAGTTCAGGCTGATTCAGTTTAAACTCGCCTTCATCACCAACCCAAGAAATGCAGTCTCGAGCATCCTTGTCAGTAAGAAGTTCTAGCAAAAACTGCCACAGTTGAATCTGGCCATTGTTTCCTAAATTGACAGGGACAAGCAATGACCAAAGTGCTATGAATTAAAAAAGGGCAAAAGGCAACAAACAGGCTCTCTGGTTTTTTTAGCTTAGCTATGCTAAAAGCACAGATTTTTCCCCAAAAAAAACTGTCTAAGCACTACCAGAGAAATAGACCATATCAGGTTTTTATCCTATGTAATAAAAGCCCAATATGCTAAGTGTCTGACCATTAGTTTGATCAGTCGCTATGCCACACACTGACCACCAGGGGACAGACAGTCCGACAGGTAGGTTAGCTTGCTGCTGGGGTCCAGGCGGATCCAGACTGGGCGAGACCAGTCAGACACGCCCTGAAGCCTTCCTGCAGTTCCTCCCCTGCCCTAATTGTGCACCAGTGGGGCCCCTTGGGGGATGTCAGAGAGCCAGTTTCTGCCCAATCTCCACAAGCCAGGCTGAGGGACCCCGCAGTTGCATGCATCCATGCACCGAGCCTCTAGTAGTGAAATAAAACAAAACATATATAACTTGATAAACATTATAAATACCAGATGAAAATGCAAAAATACCTGTTCTGTTCCCAGGTGAACTTCTATCTTCTCCTGAAATCCTTGGAGCTCTTTGTACTTTAGCTGCCTTTGCACTGCTGTTTATACCTTTAATGGTAGTTGGTGTTGCAGACTGAACTGATGCTGGAATAATTTGGACAGCTGCAAATAAAGACAAGGGGAAAAACTGTTTCCACTTCTAATACAAGCAGGGAAAAAAAACTACTGAAAGACATAAAATGCAATTAAGTTTAATGAATGCCCCCCTAATTACCTCAACAAAAAGCCTCATTTCAAATAGCCTTAATCCATAAGTTTTAAACAAAATTACAAAAAAGTTCCGAGGATAAGGTATGATGTTGGTTTGCATTACGGTTCATGAATCTCAACTTAGTAAGAGTTGGTCTTATTTGTGAAATAACTCAGTGATGTATATACAGTCTTAGTATTTGTTCATTAAAAATGGTTTATCAACTGCTGGAGAAAATGTGGGCAAATGAGAACTCACATTCCACTACTGATCAGAGTACAAACATATACCACCACTTTGAGGAAAACACTGGTAATATCTAGTAAGATTGAATAGGTAGAAACCTTATAATATTACAACCAGAGAATCTCATGTATACTCTGACAAATGCTTATTCAATGATGTTGACAAAGTTTAATATACAGCAGTGAAAATAAATGACACTGAGCAGTAATTATCAACATGGGAAAGTCTCATAACTTTTACCCAAAAAGTTTAAATGTGTAAAACAATGCTATCAAGTGTTTATGGTTACATAATTGGTAAAAATCTACACAGAATGATCAACATCCACTTCAGGATAGTCATGTAAAACAGAATCTACAACTAGTAAAGTTTAGATTTTATATATAAAGGTTTAGTTTTTAATAGTGTATGGTGTTATGGTATATAGATGGTGGTTATCATTTATTACTTCTTTGTATATCTAAAATACTTCATAAGTATTTAGTTTGTTCTTTTTTTTACTATCTCGCAGTACTGAATAAAGGAAACATTTCTTATTGATAAATGGGCCTTATGTTATGCGCATGAATACTCACGTTGATCAATTGTAACTATCTCATTCATCTGTTGCTCCTGGCTTGCCAATACATCTGAAGAACACACATAAAAATTTGTTTTCATTTAAAACCAGAATGTAAACCCCAATCCAGTAAAATTGAACTTAATAAATTTGATTCTTTTAAAAGAAACTTCACAATTAAAGGCAAAACCAAGCAATCAATTGAAACTTATTGGCATAACTTTAAAAAAATATTTGATAGTCACTTTTAATTTCTAAGTGTAAATATCTATGTCTAAATCTATTTATCTATCTACATAAAACCATGTAAAACACGAAAATCTTCAATATCAGATCATAAATGAGAATATATACCACATTGAAATTATTTAGATATATACTCTTCAAAAAGGCTTCCTCTCAAGAGAAATCTTTATAATTTAATAATTTGTTCTAATATCCACTTTTAAATAATACTGCTTTAATTTGATAATGCTTTAAAAACAGATACATTTTCAATAAAACTGTAAATGTCCTAAATGTCACAACTGAACTAGATAATTTAACATGTCTACAAATACAGCTCCCAACATAAGAGTACATCATAAAAGGCCCTAACATAATCCATTAGAGACACATCTGTTACGCATCTATTGCTATTCCTTACTCAAATGCTATTCTTTACCTCTCCAATAAGAGGAATGCTTCCCAGTCTCTATTACTTTAGCCTATTCACTGCCCATTATTGCCCCGAAGCTTCTGCCTTAAAATTGAATTGTACCCACCAGCAATCATATGAGTACTCCCAACACAATTCTACTTAGGGCACCATGCCAGGACCCAGTCCCAGACACAGAGCTGGAAAGGGCTGGGGAACTAAAAAGAAGTGTGAAATCCACCTGTCAGATGGAAATTTTGGAAGTTTTCTTTGGTTGTCCTGAGTTTGGGAGTTTAAACAACTACATGGAACTAACCTAGGAGAGATCTGGGTTCTGATCCAAGCACTCACTCACTGGATGTGTGACTTTGGTTAAGTTATTCAACTAACTTGAACATTAATTCGTGTTTAAATGAGATATCCTCAACCTACCACCTCATGAGGTTGTCCTGATGCTTAAAAACAAATGCCTTTCAGAAACACAGTGCCTGAAAACAGTTAACTTTTCAGCAAACTGAATATGCTACCGTTTTATCCAGATTCCTAGTTTTGAGCATTTTCCCCAATAACTGCTGTCTTGAAGAAAAATCCATGCCTTATGTTTGTGACCCCCAAATTTTATTAAAGTACCTTGAAAAGGTAAAAGATGCTACTGAAACTGAAACTGCTCTATTTGTGACTATAAATGAACAAAGGTGCCCTAGTCTAAAAAGGCAAGAGAGTCACCATCACAAAGCACAGGTGTGACCAACCAATAAGATTAGTCTGTAAGTCCTAATTCTCAGAACGAGTTTTATCTCTTTCCTGGGATCTCTCAAAACAGAAGGCACAACATAGAAAGAGAGAGGTTTTTGAAAGCTTGTAATAAGACCATGTAGGTACTCTGTGGTTTGCAGTCTTAATACAGAGATAAAATAAGATAATACATATAAAACTCTTACCACATCCTTATCCAGTGAATAAATGGTAAGTATTATTGCTATTATCAATAAGCAGTTATGTTAACAAAAGGAAAAAATTAAACTTAAGTTACAATATAAATAGATAATAACTCCAGTCATACATTTTCTAAGAAGCTCCAGATGACTCCAGAGAATTTCTCCCCGAGGAACCCGTTGAAAGAAATCTTCTTGGTTGAGACTACATAAATCTCGTCCTGAAATGTTGAGTGTGCTGAGGTCTATATCAGACATGCTGAATTCCTTCATGACCCAAACTACCCAATGCAAGACTTGGTCTGTAGACCACTGTATAGGATCTAAAAAGAAAAAATATTACCATTAGCATTAGCCTAGTTTCATCTTAGATATTATATACATTTACAGTTAACTTGTTAATACACACACACACAAACACACACAGGTAAAATCCAGACAGCCTTTTTCTCCCAAGGAAATAGTATATAAAGTAAAAAGAGTTTTATGCTACATTTTCTCAATAGCTATTTTTCAATTCCTTAATCTAAATTATTGATGGATTCCCCATGGTTCTACATCAATTAGTCTGAAATTTTATCAAGAACAAAATGCTAAATTGCTCTGCAGTGGCCCAACTGGAATAATGCATGTGATTATGGAGTAACTTATCCAAGTTTAAAAAATTGTCTTGTAGCAGTGTATGATTTGGTGCACTGAAGAAAAAAAAAAAAATGGGGGGGGAGGTTGTTTTCTAAAGAGCTAACTTATTATCCAAAATGTGAACAAAGTACTCATTTCTACCTTCCACTTCTTGTAAAAAGCTGGCTGCTTATCATACAACATGCCAACTGCCTCTTACTTAGCTTTTCCCCCTATAATTCATTAAGGTCTTAAATACAAATACTGTGTCGTGTAAATCATTCTATCTTCGAAACTTACCACAGTGCCTTGTGCATACATTTGTTGAATTTAAAAAAGGTGATCCAACTCGTTTCATGTCCTCATCACTTTTTATTGATTAAATTCACAAATGAAAATATGGCAAACACATATAAATATTTCATTGTTGTATGCCTGGGACCTAACAGCATTCTACCCAGAGAGGTTTAATAAATACTAGCTGCATTAATTTGGTATAGGTATTGATGCATGGAGATGATCAATCCAAATGATAGTGGTTATATGCCATCAAGATGCATGCTATTCAATATGAAAATAAGTGATAAAAATAACATTTAGGCCGAAGCCGGTTTGGCTCAGTGGTAGAGTGTCGGTCTGCGGACTGAAAGGTCCCAGGTTCGATTCCGGTCAAGGGCATGTACCTTCGTTGCGGGCACATCCCCAGTGGGGGGTGTGCAAGAGGCAGCTGATCGATGACTCTCTCTCATCGATGTTTCTAACTCTATCTGTCTCCCTTCCTCTCTGTACAAAATCAATAAAATATATTTAAAAAAAAAAAAAAAAAAAAAAAATAACATTTAGGTACTTATCAAGAGCCAATTTATAGAACATAATCAATGTAAGAATACAGGACTAATAACCACAGAATTGATTATTTTATTAAAAATTTTTTATATTGATTTTTCACAAAGAAGTGAAGGAAGGAGGATTCTGAGAAGATGGCAGCAGTTTTAAATTCCTATGAACTAAAAAAATCACTAAAAGCAACTGAAGAGAAAAAAAAAAAAAAATCCATTAATATTCACACTAAAACCAGGGGATAAGTTATCCCATGGACCACAAAATACATTCAAGGTGAAGACAAAGCAGTAATAGCCACAAGCCCCGCAAAGGATCAGAATCTATGCAGAACGCACAGGGAGAAGCAAAGAGACATTTCACATTATCCATTGTGAGAGCAGGAAACAGTCAGGAAATATTCATTAAAAGCACAACATGCCAAGGTGAAAACGGAGCAACTCAAAGTACAATAGTTTTGCCCAATCCAACAGCAGCTGAATACAAAGGTCTGTGGTAAGGTTTAAGGGGCCAGACCAGTTTAACACCTGTGACTTTTTCAAACTGAGCCAAAATCATACAGGAACACATAGCTGAAGTAGAAGAGAAAAGGAAACTGCAGAAGAAAAAGAAACCCTGAGAAAACTGACAGTGAAGGGTTTAGAAACTTTTGCAGATCTCAACAAGCTCCTTGAAAACTTTGAAAACATGGACCTCAACACTGAAAGGTTTCTATTAACAGAGAGGAATGTTCATTATCTGTTTACAAAGAAACCTATGATAAAAATTTTTTTTTAAAAGCAAACCATGATAGATGTATTTCTAAAAAGAGTGACACCTCCTCAATAAATGCCACAGGCAGGTCCTTCGGAGGTATTCCAGAGGCATTGTCATTATGGGAGGTGACAGCACCATGGAAGTTATTTATTGCCCCTGAAGACCTCCCGTAGAATGGATGAAATGTAGAGGTAGAAGACAGTGATAATGATGCTTCTGACTCTGCAGGCCTCGGGTAATGTGCTTGTCTTAGTTCTTAACAAAAAAAGTTTAAAAAGTTAGAATAAAAAATGTAAAAAGCTTATAGAAGGATCTAAAGAAAATATTTTTGTACAGCTAGAAAATGTGCTATTAAAAAAGAGCTGAAAAGTTTTTAAAAAAATTAAAAGTAATAAAGATACAGGAAGCTAAGGTTAATTTATTGGTAAAATAAGCTTTTTTGGCAAATTATGTGTAAAGAGGTCACAAAGTCTACAATAGTGTATAGTAACTCCCTAGTAGGCCTTCACAGTCACTCACCACTTATTCACCGACTCCCAAGGAGCAACTTGCAGTCGTGCAAACTCCACTCATGTGTATCCTTTCTAGCTTCTGTATCACATTTTTGCTGTACCTTTTCTATATTTAGATACACAAACACTTGCCATTATGCTACAATTGCCAACAGTGTTCAGTATAGTAACATCATATATTATGGGTTTACAGTCTAGGAGCAATAGAGTATACCAGACAGTCTAAGTGTGTGATCGATAGTCTATAGCACATATGTTTGTACATGTGCGCTCTATGTTTGCACAATGACAAAATTGCCTAATGGTGCATTTCTAAGAATGTACCACCATTGTTAAGTGAAACCAGGTTGTATTTCTTTATATTCTTAGCACCCAGGACAGTATTTGTCCATCATGTGTTATAGTCCAAAAAAGGAGAAATACAGAAAATCAATATTCTGCCTAAAAATTCTACTTTTAAAACAAATTATAACTTACCCTAGTATCTTCTATGTCAAGCTTAATTCTTATCATTCTACCTAACGTGTAATTATGTACTTTCTTACCATAGGGGATCCCAAGGCGTTCTTGCTCTTTCCTATAACCTTCTAGTGCGGCAGCCCATCTTGTCACTTGCTCCGAGGTTTCATCTGAAATGGTTGTAATGTGTTTTGTGCCATCAAGAGTTATAACCTGAGCTTCTTCAACAAGATGTGCTTCTGCTTCAGCATGATGAGCATCTGGATCAATGACTACTTCAACTGTTTCCGCAGGTTTAACAATTTCAAGGATGTTGAGCTTTGGTTCAATTCCTTTAACAGTGAATTAAAAAAATATCCAGATGAAAACATGAAATTCACTAACAAAATTTAGTTGAGTTTATATGTTCTCAAATGATAGAGCAAAACTCCATTTTCAATGTTTAGCAATATGTCTAGAGAATTTAAGAAAGTCCTATTAAATGATAAAAACAATTCAATAGAATTTTGGAGATATATATATAGATATATATATATCTATATCTATATATATATCTATATATATATCTCCAAAATATATATATATAACTAATATGCAAAGTGTCCCCTCGGGAGTTCAATTGCTCACTATGACCTGCACTGGTCACGAGGGGGCAGCATGGAACATGGCAAGCAACCAGGGGCAGTGGTGGGGGACTAAAGAAGCAAGGGAAGGAGCCGGGGAGGCGGTGGGGGGTGTGTGTATGTGGGGGGGGGGAAGGGGGGGAAAGACCACATGGTGGAGGCACACCAGTGGCAAGAGAAGAAGGGGTGGAGGAGGCAGGGAATCTGATCAGCCCGGATTGCCAGCCAGGCCTAGGGACCCTACCCATGCATGCACCAGGCCTCTAATCCTATCTAATAAAAGAGTAATATACAAATTGACCATAACTCCAACACAAGATGGCCGCCCTCATGTGGACACAAGATGGCCAGCAGGAGAGGGCAGTTGTGGGTGATTAGGCCAGGAGGGGAGGGCAGTTGGGAGGGAGGGGGGGAATCACAGGCCTGGAGGGGAGGGCAGCTGGGAGAGACCAGGGGAGCAAGGAAGGGCAGTTTGGAGTTACCAGGCCAGCAGGGGAGGGCATTTATAGGCAATCAGGCCATCAGAGTAGAAGCTAGGCATCAATCAGGCTGGCAGGGGAATGTTTAGGGGGTGATCAGGCTACCAGGCAGAAGTGGTTAGGGGCAATCAGCCAGGTGGGCAGGCGAGTGGTTGGGAACCAGCAGTCCTGGATTGTGAGAGGGATGTTCCAGATTGGAGAGGGTGCAGGCTGTGCTAAGGGACACCCCCCATGCACAAATTTCGTGCACTAGGCCTCTAGTCCTATATAAGTGCTTAACATGCTAAGTGTCCAGTTGTCCGTTCAACCAATCAAAGTATAATATGCTGATGATATGCTAAGGCCGCTCAACCACTTGTTATGACATGCACTGATCACCAGGGGATAACTGACTAGTTGAAGAATCGCTATGACATGCACTGACCAGCAGGGGGAAGACATTCCGACAGGTAGGTTAGCTTGCTGCTGGGGTTGGCCAATCAGGACTAAGACAGGCCAGACATGCCCTGGAGCCCTCCGGCGTCCCTCCCCAGTCCAGATTGTGCACCAGTGGGGTCCCTCTGCCTGGCCTGCGTCCTCTGCCTAACCCCGCAGGCCAGGCCGAAACCCCTCCAGTGCACAAATTCTTGCTCCAGGCCTCTAATATTATGTAATAGTGTTGTGTCAATATTTCCTGATTTTGAGCATTGTGCTCTGGTCATGTAAAAGAATTCCTTATTTTTAGAAAACGCATTTATTTAGGCAGAGAAGGGAACATGTCTGCAACTTATTAGTAAATAGGTTAAAAAAAAAAAAAGTGGGGGTGAGGAAGAGAATAAAGCAACTTCCTTTGCAAATTTCTCCTTTTGTGCTCAACTGCAGAGTCTAGATCTCCTTTGTAGCAAGGGTACCCAATGTGACTTAGGCTCTAGAATGAGCCTTCTATTGAGAAATGAGTTAAGGGTGGATAAGTAGGACCATGGCATCCATTTTTTGGCTCCTGTGGAGCACTGAAAAGGTAGCATCGTGGTTCTAGCTTATGGCAGGCAGGGCAACTGTCAGTCCCGCACTGAACTGTGGCTGTGTCATTCTTAGAAAGCCAACTAGAACCCATTCTACCAGCCCTCTCTCATCCTGTTATTTATTACCCTACCTTGCTGATTAATCCAGTAAAATGTGTGATACTATCTGCTTCACTTTGACAGATAGAATAATTAATTTAAAAGCCTTTATTTGGCCATAATATCACATTAATTAATTTAGAAAACCATATAAAACACCCAAAACTTATAAAATTCAGTTCTCAGAAAAACATGAATGCAATTTTAAATAACTATACAAAAATTAACTTACCTTGATAAGAAATCACCTGTACACTAAGTTGTACAGTTCCATCTGTCTTTACTCCTTGGTCAAATAAACTTCGTTCTGGATCCAGCTAAATATGGGTAAAAGGAGTAAGATTATTTTCAACAAATTATCTGATTTAATAAAAATGAATATATCAAAACTATACTGAACTACTGAAGTATACTAATTAAATTATAAGAACACATTTAATTTTGCAAGTTGTAATATCATGTACTTCTTTGCCAAAATTTAAAATATTTTAACCACCGTGGTAGTAATTAAGGACAACATAAAGAACAGAATTTATTTTAAATTGAAGTTTTCTCTAGCTCTAGAGTCTAGTTTAGGATTTTAAATAATGCCAAAAAGCAATTGTTTATTCCCTAAAACTATTTTAAGTAGAAAACAATGCAACTTATCTGTCATTAAAAAGCAAGGCTATTTAATTAGTGGGGACAATTTAAATAAATTTATTTGTATAACTAGAGGCCCGGTGCACAAAATTCATACAAGGGGGAGGAGTTAGTCTCTCAGCCCGGCCTGGATCCTCTCAAAATCTAGCACCCTTTGGGGGATGATGGGCAGTCGGGCATCCCTCTTGCAATCCAGGATGCTGCATACACCAGTGACCATACTTTTCACACGGGTGAAAGGCATCTTGCAGTTGTATAAGCAGCTACATTTATTTTTGCCCTGATTATAAAAACTAGTACATAACATGATCCTTCTGAAGCAGTAGTACCATTTTCCCCATCTTATGGGTGGAAAAACTGAAGTAGAGCGAAGTTAAGTAATTGGCTTTGTCATACAGTTATAAGTGTCCGCATCAGGGCTGACCACGAAATGTGCAAGTCAGAGTCCATGCATGTCATCGCTACATCATCCTGCTTTTTCAGTGTTAGAGTAGCCTTGCCAGGTTTTAATTTTTAAATCTAAGAGACTACTGCCAATACATAGGGTAGAGTCCCTAGGCCTGGCCAGCGATCAAGGCCATCTTTGGGGCACCTGGCAGATGGGGCAATTGGGGGCCCTGCTGACACCGGCCTTGGCTGGTGGCCTGACTCCACCCAATGGCCAGCCCCACCCCGACCACGCTGCCAGTCGCCTCCCTCTGGGGAGGGGACACACACTCGCACGTGCACACAGAAGCTCAATGCACGAGCTGCCCCCAACCTCCTGTGTTGAACGTCTGCCCCCTGGTGGTCAGTGCACATCATAGTGACAGGTCATTCCTGCCAGTCATTCTGCCGTTCAGTCAATTTGCTTATTAGAGTTTAATTATACAGGATACTTGTTATCAACCAACTATACACATTTAAGGTCAGAGTTAATGCTAAATCTCTGATCACAAAGTTAATAAGGAACTTATGACTTTGCTACCTGACCTAGATATGGATATCTTTACTCATAATTCTATATCCTTTAAGTATGAGTTCTTTTTACCCTCATAGCACCTTATAATGAATGCATTTACACAATGACAAATTGATGACAAAAAGTAATTCGGATTTTCAGATATGCACTTAAATGCTGAAATATGAATTAAAAAAAAAAAAAAAAAAGATTACCTGAATATCTTGTAGACAAATTTCATGAGCATCCAAAGAACACTGTAGTCTTGGTTCTAGTAGTTTCTTTAAATTGCCTATTGGCTCATTGATGTCTATGGCCTGGCTTACACATTCAGCTGGGGTGTAGGTTTGTTCTACAATGCTAAATGTTAAAGTATATAATGGTTAAAAATTACATTTTTACCCTGAAAATTAAAGTAACAATATGTTCAAACCAAAACTGATTACCAAAACACATTTCTGGTCTTTGAAACTCATGTCTGCATAGACACCATTCATAGTGGTAAACTTATCACCAAATAGTGCTGCCAACAGACCAAGTCCAAAGTGATATACTGCTTCTTCAATTAGGTTATGTAAAGCAACACTGCAGCCCCCATCTTGCTGCGCATGCTCCCTCAGGCCATCTGCCACATCGTGAGCAGCCCTACAGAGAAGCCCATGCGGTCAGGAAGTGAACAGTCATATCACCAGTCTCATGAGTGATCCTGTAAACAGATATGCTAGCCCCAGTCAATTCTCAGATGACTATAGCCAGACTGACAGCTTCACGGCAAACACATGAAATACCCTGAGGTAAGAGAGACATGTAGTCTCTACTGTTTCTTCTGTTAAAGAAAGTAGCATAGTGAAACATATTGAAATTCTCTATCAAAAAGATTAAGATCTCTTGGGCAGCCATGACCTTTTCTGTGAAGAAAACATTCCTGTGCGAGGGTATGGAGGCAGAGGACAGGACCGAGGACAGCTAACGTGGGGTTTTCCTAAGAACCAGAGCCAGACCTCTCCTCTGAGAAGAGGAGGTGGTATGAGTGACCTCCACCTGCTGGCAGAAAATACAGAGCTGCTGAACAGCTAGTATAAATCTCAATTATGCCAGATTAGGTAGTTCTAGAGATCGGTGTACAACATGGTTCTTATAGTTAAATACACAGTATTGTACACTGAAAAATTTGTTAAGTGCTTTTACCACAATAAAACAAATTTTTTAAAAACTAAGGTCTAGCCAGGACTGGTTTGGCTCAGTGGATAGAGCATCGGCCTGTGGACTGAAAGGTCCCGGGTTCGATTCCAGTCAAGGGCATGTACCTTGGTTGCAGGCACATCCCCAGTGGGGGGTGAGCAAGAGGCAGCTGGTCCGTGTTTCTCTCCCATCGACGTTTCTAACTCTCTGTCCCTCTCAATTCCTCTCTGTGTAAAATCAATAAAATATATTTAAAAAATAAATAAATAAATAAATACCCAGTTGCTGAAGAAGGTTGCATGCAGAGAGTCATTTGAATGCAGTAATTTTCAAAAAAGAAACACCCAAAAAACAAAAAAAAACTAAGGTCTAAAATCTTAGCTGTAACCTAAACACTCAGCATCCTATTCATCAATCTTAGTAATTTGGTTCATTCTCATTGCAGTTATTCTAAACTTTTACTAAACAGAAGTTCTTCTCTACTACTCTTTAGTCCCTTTTACTTTCATTGTATTATCTCATCAAGACCACTGCCCTTCTCACTTAATGGAGTAATATTCTATTACAATTCCAAGAACTAATACCTTTCACTACTCTATATGCTTATTACTATGCACACAATTTCTCATATACCTGTATACCTTCTCAAACACAATGTGCCTCTACAAGGACAGGTCATTGTCTCATATATACTCCTGTCAGTTCATAGTAGCTACTTATACATATTTGTTACATTAGTTCAGGTTGGGAATTAAACTCTATAGGAAATCAAAATACCCAGCACAGATGAAAGAATAAAAATAATCAAACAGTGCGATGAGGTATTAAAACCATCACAATCAATTGCTTGATTATGTGTATATTACTATCTTTTTTAAAATATATTTTTTATTGATTTTGGAGTGGAAGGGATAGAAACATCAATGATGAGAGAGAATCACTGATGGGCTGCCTCCCGCACACCCCCTACAGGGAATCGAGCCAGCAACCTAGGTATGTGCCCTTGACCAAATAGAACCCAGGACCCTACAGTCCGTAGGCCAATGCTCTTTCCACTGAGCCAAACTGGCTAGGGCCGTGATCAGCCAACTGCAGCTCTCGAGCCATATGCAGCTCTTTGGCCCCTTGAATATGGCTCTTCCACAAAATACCACAGCCTGTGCAAGTCTATTTTGAAGAAGTGGCATTAAAAGAAGTTTAAATTTTAAAAATTTGGCTCTCAAAAGAAATTTCAATCATTGTAATGTTGATATTTGGCTCTGTTGTCTAATGAGTTTGCTGACCACTGGGCTAGGGCATATTACTATCTTTTAAAACTATCTTTCCATCTCAGCTATAAATTCATTAAGTCAGAGTAAAAAAGCAATACCTTATTCCCCAAAACACTGTCAGTTGAAAAAAAAAAAAAAAAAAATGGCCCCCAAAGAACTCTGGCTTGATTCTTAATTTTAATGTACAATATATGAGTAATATATAAATTCAGATAATACCAACCTTTCTTCTGTGCATTCTGTTTTCTCTGTTCCATCAATTTCAATTTCTATCAGCTCCTCTGCTTCTCTTTTTGTCATGGTTGAAGTAATTCAAAAGCTCAGCCCTGTAAGAGTTAAATTTTAAGACATTTAAAAATTATCTGCACAAAGAGGAGTGCTACAGAAGTAGTAGAGACCCAATTTAAATAAAGAGCAGTGGGTAAGTAGAACAGGAAGAAGTAATCTTCACACATAAAAGAAAATCCACATGATATTGATGAACTAGTTTTTGTTTACATGGTGCTTATTAGCCTAACATAAATTCTTCATAGTTCTATGGATTTATCGGAACTTGTTCAGTCCAATCTCAGGGAATAAATTAACTCAAGCTACTTCAAAATCAAATGAAAGGTATGCGAACTATATTAAAGCAACTTTAGTCTCAATAACAGGTTCAAACCTGTAGCTTAAAAATCAATGAATGTAGAGATAAACCACTATTGTTTACCTAAAAGCTGTGCAGTATTAGTAGGACAAAGAATGTACTTTATTAGCATTGTACTGATAGAGTGATAGAAAACTAAAGTTAATGCTAGCTATGATTTGTTAGAAATTACCTATCTTATAAGTACAATATTCTAAAACAGCAAAATCAAGTAACAAAAAGTTACACACACACACACACACACACACACATATATTTAGAGAGAGAGAGAGAGAGTTAGTTGTATTATAATGAATTACTACATTACTGTAGGAGAAAGAGAGAGAGAGAGAGTTAGTTGTATTATAATGAATTACTACATTACTGTAGGAGAGAGAGAGAGAGAGAGAGAGAGAGAGAGAGAGAGAGAGAGAGAGACTGTGTGAGAGAGAGAGTTAGTTGTATTATAATGAATTACTACATTACTGTAGGAGAGAGAGGGAGGGAGGGAGGGAGGGAGAGAGAGAGAGAGAGAGAGAGAGAGAGAGAGAGAGAGAGAGAGAGTTGTATTATAATGAATTACTACATTACTGTAGGACTAGCAAAGTCTTCCACCTTAGAAAGGGCTATACCTCTCCTCAGGTCTATAATTAGCCGGCATCCAAATCTAGAATGCCTGTAATAAAAATGGTCTGATTTCCCCCATATTATTAAGGTTGCTCTCACATGTCCTCTTATAGGAAGACCAGTAAGAGGCTGGGGTTCTCCAGCAGAGTACATACCTATAATGCACCTCTAGCAGACTGCCTAGGCCCTAGGCAACTTTTGCTTTCTTCTGTTCTGACCCTAGCTTAGTAGAACTTCCCTTTCCCTAATAAAGTCTATTCCTTAACACACTCTTTGTAAACTGTGTTATTTATCTTGACCACTAGGGCAAAACAAGTTGTGACCCTGTAGGACAACATAAATTCCACCTGGTTTGAAGGAATGTTATTATGTTTACAGAAGTATAAAAAATACTTTGAACAGTACTTCACTCTTAGTAGGCACTCTCTTAAAAAAAATGTTTTAAAAACTATTATCCTATATAATGAAAGTCTACTGTGCTAAGTGTCTAGTCGACCAGTAGCTATGATATGTCAATGATAAGCTAAGGCCGTTCAACCGCTAGCTGATGTGCACTGACCACCAGGGGGCAGACAGTCCACCAGTCAACCAGTTGCTATGACATGCACTGACCATAGGGGGCAGGCACTCGGACCTGTAGATTAGCTTGCTTCTGGACTGAGACCACTGGACTGAGCTAGACGGGACATGTCCTAGAGCCCTCCTGCAGTCTCTCCCCGGCCCCAATCATGCACCAGTGGGGTCCCTCAGCCTGGCCTGTGCCCTCTTGCAATTTGGGACCCCTCGGGGGATGTTGGAGAGCTGGTTTTGGCCTAATCCCACTAGCCAGTCCAAGGGACTTTACTGTTGCATGCATTCATGCACCAGGCCTCTAATACTCCATATAAAATTGACTTCAGGCCGAAACTGGTTTGACTCAGCGGTAGAGCGTTGGTCTGCGGACTGAAAGGTCCCGGGTTCAATTCCGGTCAAGGGCATGTACATTGGTTGCGGGCACATCCCCGGTGGGAAGTGTGCAAGAGGCAACTGGTAGATGTTTCTCTCTCATAGACGTTTCTAGCTCTCTCTCTCTCCCTACTTCTCTGTAAAAAAAAACAATAAAATATATATTTAAAATTGACTTCAGTTCCCCTAAAGGCTTAAATGTGAAAGATACAACTATACAGCTAATAGAAGAAAATGGTGAGGGTTTTTTTCCTATGGTTTATTAATAGAAAATAATTTTAACATTCCGAAAATTAAACCACAAGGCAAAACACTAATGCATTTGTGATTATATAAAAATTAAGATTTATGTTCAATAGACAGGGTAACGACTGAGAAAAGATATTTTCGATATCCAAAAGTGACAAGGGAATAACTGGAATAGACAGCAAATTCCTGCAAATGGATAACAACCCCCCAAAAGTCAGGGCAAATTAGGAAAGCAGGTAAAGTGTAGGAAATGGGAAAGTAACATAGAGAAAACCAAAATGGCTAAGGATATAAAGAAATGTTCAAACTCAAATAATTCAAAAATGCAATTTAAAACAAAAACTTTATACTCTGAGTGTGTGTGTGAGAAATGTAGTGTTGAATACTGAAAAGAATAAGCAGGGATGTGGAGCCTAAGAGACCTCTGCCTCTGTTGAAGTACAGACAGGTCCAGCTAATCTGGAGAAAAATCTAGCAGCACTTGTTCAAATCAAACATGCTTACACCTAAGACCCAGCAATCCTGGACATAGATAAGCATTCCAGAGATATTGATTGATAAGAACATTCAGGGAATAGCTGAAAGCTAGAGCCAATGAAAATAGCCATGGTAAGGAAGTCCTGAGATATAAGAAAATGAGAAAGAAGCCCACACCATGGAACTTTAGTAACAGCTAAAAACAAGGAAGTAATGCACCCACACACAAATCATAAAGGCGGGAGCTCTCCCTCCAGGGAGCCCCTGCCTAGCCTAGCCTTTCCCCTCCAGCTCTTGGGGGGAGGGGGGGTGTTGTTACCATTAACTTCCTCGTTCCCAAGCTCCTGGGGCCCTTCCTTTACTTCTATAACTAAACTGGTGAATTCTAGGAATTACTGTTTCTATCTCTGTAATATACTCAATAAATGTTCTCTTACAAAAAAAAATATATATATATATATAGATAGATAGATAGATAGATATATCTATATATATGTGTATTGTATACTGAAAAAGAAGTGAGAAATAGTAAGGTTTATAGCAGAACAGAACTTTAAAAAAATAATTTTTTTTTTAGGTTTAGTAAATTTTTATTATAACATATTTTCCATAATATTTTCTTTTGAAAAACTATATGTAGTAAAGTATAAATAAAACATATACTCATTACCCAAAAATTTTTGAGAAATTAATATTTTTTAATATTAACTTCAGATTTCCTTTTAAAGATATAAAAATGTAAAAGTCTTGTGTGCTCCTTTATATTGTAAATTTGTGAGCTTATCATTTCATACTCAGCTCTTCATATAACATTTCTTTTAAAAGATCTTTATGTTTTATTTTCAGGGCCCATAAAGAGGTCCACTCCTCTCTCCATAACCAATTTTATTTTTTAAAAGGTTAGAAAACAACTGAATTTTCCCATAACTTTGGGAAAAATAAAAAAGTATATGAAAAAGTAACCAGAGGCTGAGAAATGGTCCAGGCTTAATCAGCAGGGTTATCTATGGTTCTCCATAATATAAGCACTAAAACGGGGGCTTGTTAAAAATAAATTTACCGCCGAAACCGGTTTGGCTCAGTGGTAGAGCGTCGGTCTGCAGACTGAAAGGTCCCAGGTTCGATTCCGGTCAGGGGCATGTATGTTGGTTGCAGGCACAACCCCAGTAAGGGGTGTGCAAGAGGCAGCTGGTCGATGTTTCTCTCTCATCAACGTTTCTAGCTCTCTATCTTCCTCCCTTCCTCTCTGTAAAAAATCAATAAAATATATTTTTTTTAAAAAGAAATTTACCCTGTGATCTTCCAAAAAAGTTATAGATCCGTCTCTAGAAGGTGCCCCGCCAAAAAAGAGAACCCCATATACCTTATTTTTTAAAAATATATATTTTATTGATTTTTTACAAAGAGGAATTGAGAGTTAGAAATATCAAAGAGAGAGAATCATCGATCAGCTGCCCCTTGCACACCCCCCATTAGGGATGTGCCCTGCAACCAAGGTACATGCCCCTGACTGGAATGGAACCCAGGACCCTTCAGTCCACAGGCCGATGCTCCATCCACTGAGCCAAACCAGTTTCGGCAAGAATCCCATATATAATACTTTAGAAAAAAAATAATCATAGTCTCTAAATTGATCCTTTTTTCTCTCTCAGGTCTCTAAATTTAGCCTGAAAGTAAGGGAGATTGGGAAATTGTCCAAGTCGCTGATATCACTGCTTGAGTGGGTCTGAGCTTTTTCTGGAACCAGGATTCCTTCACAAAACGCACAGGGGAGGAGAGAACATCACTTGGAGCCTTTCCCCAAAGGCTGCCCTGGTTTCTCCTGGATTAAGTCTCACCTGGGGCTCAGAGCCCTTCACAAAATACAGGTACTGTAAACTAAACTTAACTAAGAAGTCCAGACAAGGCTAGTATTCTTTCAAATATAGTCACATTTAATATTCTTCCTTGGAGCTACAGATAAATTTGAGAACTAACCCTTGCTGGTTTGGCTCAGTGGATAGAGCATCAGCCTGCAGACTGAAGGGTCCCAGGTTCGATTCAGACATGCCAGGTTGCAGGCTTGATCCCCAATGGGGGGCGCTGCAAGAGGCAGCAGATCAATGATTCTCTCTCATCATTGCTAGGTCAATCTCTCTCTCCCTCTCCCTTCCTCTCTGAAATCAATAAAAATATATTTTTTTTTTAAAAACTTGAGAATTAGTCTTCTTCACTGGAAAACATTAATAGTTTAGGACAGCTTTTCCCAATAAGGGCGATACTTATATGCAATACTTATCTATATTTAACATACAAAATGTATTAAAAAATATTATGTAAAATAAATGTGTATTTAATATAAATGTGTACTAAGAGTACCGACCTGATCAACTGAACATTTTCTCAAACTAAAAAATACTGTAATATATCTGAATAAAAAAAAAATGTTTGTTTTTAAAAACAAAGTCAACAGGCAAGCCAGTGTGGCTCGCTGGATCCCATGCAACAAACAGGAGGTCGCAGGTTTGATCCCCAGAGTACTTGCCAGGGTTTCTGCACCAACACCGTTAGTGGGACTGGAGGAAAGAGATCTAAGGATGACGTTTCTCCCTCATGGATGTCTCCCTCCCCACCCCCATTTCCCTTCCTTTCTCTAGAATCAATTAAAAATATTTTAAAAATAAATAAGAAAAAAAAAAGAGTAAAACGCGCGCTCGCGCGCGTGTGTGTGTGTGTGTGTGTGTGTGTGTGTGTGTGTAGAGAGGGGGAAAACAAATGTAGAGAATGACTGATACTTGGTGACTTCCCCCACCAGGTGACGGTGTTCACTGTAGAATTTTTCAAGTTTCCTGTAGATATGAAATTTTCTAAGCAAAATTGGAGGGGAAAAATAGTATTCAGCCTCCACATCCTCTTTAGGAATAGCCTCCATTGAGCATCTAGTTCAGCATTTACCTTCTTACTTCAAGACTATTTATCCCCCATAACACATAGTCCTGTCTACTATGCAATCCAGGTGATCCGACTTAAGCCAACCAAAAAATAAATGGGGCTGGAAAGACGGGATCAAGCCCCGCAGGAGGGATTGTTAATCCCTTTAAGCAGTTTGGAAAGAGCTGGTGGGTTTCTTCGGAAGTTTCGGACACAACACGGTGCTGGCCATGTCATCGCCGCCCGGTGCCTGGCTCTGCTCCTGCCCGGGGCCGGGCCAGGCGGGTCTCAGTGCCTCCTCCTCACCGGGCAGCCCCGCCGCGACCCCCCAAACCAGGGTCCCCCAAAACAGGCGCCAACAGCGGTGCTTCCGGTCCGCATAAAACACGTAAAAAAAAGTTGGCAAACTGCGTTAACCCATCACGTCCCCCTTGTCTCACTGCCACTTTTTAAAAGAAACCCAACGACCAACACAGACACATGAACACATGGCGTGGGTGCAGCTCGGGGGCCGTTCTAGGAAGACCGCCGGGCGGGAAGGGAGGGCCGGTCGCGGGGCCGGCGAGGCTGGCTTTGCTTCTTCCCGGGAGATCCCGGGAGCCGGGCCCGCTCCGCCGCGGGGGCTGCGGGCCGCCACGCCGGGCGGGGAAGGAGCGGGAGCGGGGCCGGGGCCGGGGCCGGGGCCGGGGCCCGGGACGCGCGGCTCGTCCGCCCGGCGCCGCGCGCCCCCCGCCCCTCCGTCCCTCCCTCCGCTCCCCGCACGGCTCCCCGCCCCTCCCCACCCGGCTCCCTCAAGTCTCCACGAACGGAAATGGGAGTCACAGCGCCGGGGACCAGCGGAAACAAAACACAGAGGCGGCCGCGGGGGGGCCGCGCCGGGGGAGCGGGCCCCGGAGCGACGCCGGCCCGCCGCCCGCGCCGCCCTCCGCTCCGCTCCGCTCCCGCGGCCGCACTCACCGCTCCGGAACCCAGCGGGCCGCCCCGCCCGCGCTCCACAGCCGGCCGAGGACCCGCGGCGGCGCGCGCCCCACGTGCGGCGTCTCCCCCGGTGAAACCTGCAGCTCCCGCGACTCCCCGAGTGGGACGCCCCTGGGCCCTTCCCGCGGAATCGGCGCGGAGAAACTCCAACCCCCCCCTCCCGCCTCCCAGGCACCCCCGGGCTCAGGACTACAAGTCCCAGCAGGTGGCGCGACACGAACGCCCCCGAGGCGACGGAGGCTCACGAGGCACAAAAGGAGCACAACGCCCCAGGCCGCTTTGTTTTCACACTGTCACTGTGTCGGGACGTTCATACACTTCAACAACCCAAGAAGAAACAGGACTGCTGGCCGGTTCGGGACGGGAAGGACCGAACTCACGGAAAGGCCGGGCCCAGTGCGCATGCGTACATGGGGAGGGTTTTGTGTCTTTTTTTTTTTCCCCCCCAGAAGGGAAAGAGGGAGCGGATTACATGAGGAGGAGGAGGAAAGATGGCGGAAGAGCCGCTAGGGGACCCGGAAGCACTTACCCTCTACTTCCTCCCGTTTGCCTTCTGCCTCACCTAGAGCCGTCCGGTCGCGGACTGTCTCTGAGACGCTTCCTGTCCGGTGAGCGCCGACCGACTGAAACGGCGGCCCACAATGCACTGCGATAGCGTGTAGGCGGGCGGGGGCGGGGCCAAGGCCGGAAGTAGGACGGCGGCGGTGGCGGCGGCGGCGGCGGCGGTCTGGCAGCTCGGGACTGAGTACAAGGTGACTGGGAGGGTAGCTGGCCTAGCTGGGCCTCTGGGGACTGCGATTCAGAGTTTTTCTCTGGGGACCGGGCTGCCTGTTACCTTTGCCCTTCCTGAGAGAGCAGCGTTTTTGGCCCGGGGACCTTCCCGGCCGGCTCCGAGGTCACTGCAGACGCCGGAGCCTGCAGGCCTCGGAGTTTGCCGAGGAGGCTCGATGGATACGGCCTGGAGGATAATGTCCGCCCTGAGGGCAGGCCGCGGTGGGGCGGGTTGCAGGGTCGCGGGGTTTCCCGGCTGGGGCAGCCCAAGGTCATGCTCGGGGAGCATGTCTCAGCCAGGCCTGCTCAGCCCGGGCTCCCGGGAGCTGGTTCTGAGCTATTGAAAGCCGACCATGGGGATAGTCGTCTTAAAAGTTTGCAGCCCGCCTGAAAATATAAGTAGTGCTACAACTGTTAGGCAACCGTGTTTTTACACTCTTTCCTGCACCATCCTACGCCCCAACAACCCCGAGGAACCGGACGCTGGCGGGGCCGGGTGGGGAGGCTGGGGCTCGAACCTGGGGAGGGGCCAGAGTGCGCATCCGAACTCAGCAGGGATCCAAGAGGGAAAAAGCGGGTCCAGTTAGGCGGGTTGTGCATTGACTTTGAGGAGATGCTTTGAGGGGCCCTGGCGGGGTAGCTCGGTGGCCAGAGCGCCTTCCCCATACACCAGGGTTGAAGGTCAAGGCACATACAAGAGGCAGCCATTGCATGCCCAAAGACGTAGAACAACGAAGGCGATGTTTCTCCCTCGATCCCCCTCTAAAACCAATAAGTAAAAAAAAAAAAAAAAAAAAAATGTAGCCGAAACCCGTTTGGCTCAGTGGTAGAGTGTCGGTCTGCGGACTGAAAGGTCCCAGGTTCGATTCCGGCAAGGGCATGTACCTTGGTTGCGGGTACATCCGCGGTAGGGGTTGTGCAAGAGGCAGCTGGTCGATGATTCTCTCTCATCGATGTTTCTAGCTCTCTGTCTCTCTCCCTCTCTGTAAAAAACCAATAAAATATATATATATTTTTTAAAAAAATGTATATCTTTCAAGGATATGCTTTGAAGAGGCAGCGAGAGGACTGACCTTGGCTGGTCGGCCATCACTGTAAACAGAACCCTGCTCTTGCACATGCCATGCCCTTTGCTGTTGCCTTCCCCAGTCCTTTTCTGACTGTCACCTCCCTGTCATGGCCTCTCGTGGCCCCTAGTCGTACTCCAGTAGGAAACTTACCACAGTTGCTCTTCACACCTGTTTGTGTAATAGCACGTGCCTCCTGCGGGCCAGTGGACAGTCCACACTCACTGTGTATTTAAGCACAAATGAGGTTATGTGTTTTATCTTTTTAGACAAGATGGATTTGAGGGCCCCAAAGGACTTATGAAGGGACGTGAGCTGTTGAATGTATGGGACTCAGGGGCAAACAAAATTAGAGAGGTGATTTCCGAATCATTAGTATTCAGAAATCGGGGGGGAAAAAATAGATTTTACTCCTTTTGCAGTAGGAATAATATGGTTTTTGCTGTCAGAGCAAATTAATTGTGGAAATATGAGCAACTTTTTTAAACTTAAACTTCTTCTAACACCACATCTTCAAAATAGTATTTTGTGGAAGAGCCACACTCAAGGGGCCAAAGAGCCGCATATGGCTCTCCAGCCGCAGTTTGCCGACCACGCTATAGCTCAGTGACACAATCTGTATGCTACTACTGGTCTACAAACCATACTTCCAGGAGGAGAAGGAGGAGGAGTATAACTTAATATGGGTTCTGTGTCAGTATGATGATGATTATTGTTATTGCTATTATTAATTTTTGGAGGTGGAGGGATCATGTTAGCTTTAACATGTCAGGTTTTGACTTTATCTTTAAGGTTCAGAAATTGTACCAGGCTATATTGAGTTATGACTGTTGTCATCATTCCAATATAGGGTTTGGTAAGCCCTTAACTAGACTCAGTCTTTTTTAATTTAAGGGAACTTTTTTCTACTTATGGTCTCCTTATCTATTCCTTTTCTTTTGAAATTCGTTTGCGTATATTTGTTGTAATTTGGTATTTTTTACATTTGGTGTTTCATGACACTGAATGCGATCTCAACTGAGATCAGTTTATCAACTGAAATTTATAGTTAGAAAAGTATGTCCTTTAGCTCTAAGGATTTGGAAATCCGTATTTTTAAAAATCAGAATTTCATGTCCTTTACATATTCCAAGTCACTGACTAGGTTGTACCACATGATTTTCTCTCTTGTTGGTGGGTTTCCTTGGCTGGTTGCTATTTCTCCTTGCTGGCTGTGTTGGACTTAGATTTGCAGTTGTAAAAGGCAGACTCCCTATGTGGGTCTTCCAAGTAGAAACTTCCAGGCTATCAATCCTGACTGAGGCTACTGTCTCCAGCGCCCCTGCCCGGTTCTCTGGAGAGAATCCTAGCACATTGTTTTAGAGGTCGGGATTGTTCTTTTCCTCTCGGGGTGGGTAGCTTTCCAACATCCTAATTTTCCCTGACCCAAGACTAAGTTCATGGGGAGGGTACACCCCATTCCATATTCTGTGCTTTCTTTCTGATGTAACCCTGGTGGGGCCACTCAGAGCCCTGAGCTCCTAACTGCTCCCAGGACCCAGGTGTTCGGGTTAAGAAGTGGGCAGTGGAGAGGGGAATGGGGCTAGGATCAGGTGATTGTTCTTACCCTGTTTCCCCGAAAATAAGACAGTGTCTTGTATTAATTTTTGCTCCCAAAGATGCGCTAGATCTTATTTTCAGGGAATGTCTTATTTTTCCATGCGCTAGGTCTTATTTTCAAAGGATGTCTTATTTTCAGGGAAACACGGTAGCATTCACTGAGGTCTAGTATGCTTCAAGTCCTAGAGAAGTAGAGGTATTTTATAATTATATGTATATTAAAATGTATTAACATTGTGGTGCCTTTTTTTCTTTCCACAGTAATAGTCACCATGATTCTTCAGAGGCTCTTCAGATTCTCCTCTGTCATTCGGTCTGCAATCTCAGTCCATTTGAGGAGGAATATTGGTGTTACAGCGGTGGCCTTTAATAAGGAACTCGATCCTTTACAGAAACTCTTCGTGGACAAGATTAGGGAATACAAAACTAAGCGACAGTAAGTGGGTGGATGATCAGCCATTGTGTAAATGTAAATATTTAAAGTATGTAAGTTTTGAGGTGGTCATACACTTGGTGTTTGAAAGTGTCTAAAACCTTTACTGAGCTGATCCCTTGCATGGAGGTTCATTAGATCTTGATTATTTTAAGTCCCTGATTTTATCTTTTTTTTATATGGTTTTCCGGGAAAAGTTCATTAAACCTTTTGTTATTTTGCTTATATCCTTGTATCTAAAGGATATGTCATCATTCTACCTTTAAAAAAAAAAAAGTGAAGACTTGACTCAGGATTTTGTTTATAGCTTGAAAGAGTTCTCAAACCTATAGACATTCCCAGGTCTACCTCAGGTTACAAACAATTGGTGTGAAGGTGGAACAGGTAAATGGGGTGGGAAGAGAATATCTTTCAGGAGGAAAGAGTACTGTGAGCTAAGGCATGAAAACTGGAAAGCATATATGGGAAATTGTGTAATGTTATTTCCTAAGACTGTGGAGTATATAAAGCAGCGTTTTTCAACCGCTGTTCCGCGGCACACTAGTGTGCCACGAGATGTTGCCTGGTGTGCCGTAGGTGCAGACAAGACAAGAATTTTATAATTTTTCACTATTTTGTTTACTTAATATTTCATAATAAAGTAATTATAAAATACTTTCTTTGTGTTTATTTGATTCCTATTCAAGAGAATTACTTTATATATAGTCAATATAGGCACAGAGTTAAATTTTTTAACATTTTCTAATGGTGGTGTGCCTCGTGATTTTTTTCATGAAACAAGTGTGTCTTTGCCCAAAAAAGGTTGAAAAACACTGATATAAAGAATGTAGAGAGCACTAAAGGATAGACTAGGATTAAAATGAGGAATTATGGAAGGCCTTGATTATAGACTGGACAATTAAAATATATGAAAAGCATATATGAGAAATTAAAGATTTTTTAGTGGGATGGTGAGGTAGAACAATATTGCTCCGTATTAGGAAGAAGATTTTTATCACAGTGTACTAGGAAATTTGGGTTGAGAAAAAAGGAAAGATAGACATGTTAGAAAAATATGATAATATCAGCATTAATGAGAATCCTGTCTTTATAGCAGTGGGAATATAAAAGTGACAGGAATCAAAATACTGAGACTTGAGGTTGAGTGACTAACAAAGGTTTTCTCGTTACCTGAACTAAGGAGGGAGAGGGTGAAGGGATTAAAATGAAGATAATATGAAACTCCCACAACAACCTTATTCATGTCATCCCCGTTTTACGTATTAGAAAACTAAGGCTAAAAAGTTAGAATTCATACTGTTCAGTAAGCAGGTGTGCAGGACTGATTGGGAAATTGGAGCATCTGTGTGGAGGTATTGTGGCATCACAATATTGATGCTATTTGCACTTTCACTGTCCTTAAAAACCTGTTCAATAAGAAGTCAAGCCTTAGGCATACTCTGAACCTTAGGGGTCTGGCTCCTTCATTTGTGCAAACAGTAGAGAAATGTTCTGA